TCACAGTACTGTCTCTTTTCAATTTAATTTTTTTATTGCTTAAAGTATTACAAAGAGTATTACATATGTCTCCTTTTTTTTCCCCCTAGACATTCCCCCGGCCTCCCCTACCCCCCAGTGTCTTGTGTCCATTGGTTATGCTTATATGCATGCATACAAGTCCTTCGTTTGATCTCTTACCTGCCCCGCCCCAGTACTGTCTCTTTTCAATGGGAAAGTAACTTGCTTATTTAAACTTTTAGCTCTAAACATGAAGACTTAGTTGTTATTTCATTTGCAGAATTATACTTTCACTTTACAAACAAACAAGGCTACGAATGGCTGGACTTGTTGTTTTACTTGTAGTCTTGTAGTATCAGCATTAAGTAATCTTTGAAGAAGACCTTTTTCATGTGAATGGTTGGCAACACACACAAGTAGTACTAAAATATTGAAAATGCTGAATAACTTGTTTGAATCTCATGATTTATCCTGGAGCAAGTTGGTTTATATTTACATGGAGGTGCAAAAGCAATGGTGGGTAAAACTGCTGGCACCATGGTACAAGTTAAGGCAGTAATACCAAAGTACACCAGCAGTTATTTTATTCTTTACTGTTATGTACTCACAGTAAAAAACTCCAATTTTATTTAAGAATGTCCTTGGGGAAGCACTGAAAATTATTAACTCTTGATCCTGGATTTAATATTGTATGACAAAATAGGAGGTATGCAGAAGTTGCTTCTGTTATAAACTGTACTACTGTGGTTGTCTTGAGGAATAGCACACCTGTGATTAAGCTATGGCTTAAGTAGCCACTTTTACTGGAACACCATTTTTGCTTAAAAGAACAACTGATGGAAAAACTATTATTAAATACTTGGGTCCTTGGCAGATTATTTTCTCAAAAATGAAGTAACCTGATCACTTTAGAATAAAGATTGACATTATTTGTTGCCAAGATAATATTCATGTACTTTAGTGAAATTTAAAATTTTGAAAAACATTCTGTCACTATAAGCTTGACAGCTTCCCAGAACTTAAGCTTTGTCCCAATGAGATCAGTGGTGATACCAGTTAATGTGATTTTCTTTCAGTATTGCATCAAATGTTTCAACATTTGTAATATTTGCATAACGTAGTGGACCAATATTTTCCAAAAAAATCAATATATATGTTGGGTCATATAATGATTCAAAGTACAAGATGAGTGAATTTTAATGTAAAAGAATATAAAAAATTCGTTAATATGGTTTAAAATTCCACCAGCATTAACTGGTATCACCACTGATCTCACTGGAACAAAGCTTAAGTTATGGGAAGCTGTCAAGCGTACAGTGGTGGAGTGACTAAGAAACTACCAAATGTAGAATTTTTGTGTAGTATCAATGTAGAATATCCATAATTATCGGGAAAGGTTATTAAAATACTCCAACCTTTTCCAACTACATATCCATGTGAGGGTGAATTTTTTTTCATATACTTTAACAAAAACAACATCAAAACACGCTGAATGTAGAAACAGGTATGAGAACTCAACTGTCATCTATGAGCCAGATATTACAGATGTGCACAAATGTATAGCACTGTTATTTTTCTCATGAAATTAATTTTTGTCTTAGAAAATAGAGGGTTTTTTGTTGTTTTTTACTACAACATATTATTTGTGCTAATGTGTACTGGATTTATTATTCTTATTTTAAATAAGTTAATAAACATTTTAAAATTAAAAATGCAAGATAGTAACAATATATCATGAAATTTATAACATATGCAAAAGTCAAATATCTGACTACAATAGCACAAAGGAAGAAAAGTGGGAAAATGGAAGAACATTATCATTAAGGGTGCTGTATTATACATGAAGTACTAGTAGTGTAATGATATTTTAAGGTAGACTATGATAAGTTAAAAATGCACACTGTAAGCCCCAGAGCAACCACAAAAAAGAGAAAAGTTATAGCTAATAAGCAAATAAATAAGATAAATGAAATCCTTAAAATATTTATTTAATTCAAAAGGGCAGAAAAATAGAAAGGAACACAGATCAAATGGTACAAATAGAAAACAAATAGGAAATGGATTTAAACCTAAACATATAAATAATTTACTTAAAGGTGAATTTTCTAGGTACTCCAACAAAAAGGCTAAGATTTCAAAATGGATAAAAAAATCAGGAACCAACCATATGCTGTCTGTAAGAAAAACAATTTAAATATGAAGCTACAAATAGGTTAAAAGTAAAAGGACAGAAAAATATATACTCCACAAATAATAATCATAAGAAAACAGGTGTGAAAATATTAAAATCAAACAAAGAAGACTTCATTACAAGGAATATTACCAGAGATAAAGAGGTATATTTCATATTAATAAAGGGTACATTTATCAAGAACATCTGACAACCCTAAATATGTACATCTATGAGAGAGAAACATCAACATCGATTGGATACCTCTTGCATACCCCTCACCAGGGATCCAGCCTGTAACCCGGGCATGCAACCTAACAAAACCAGCGACTTCTTGGTTCATGGGTCGATACTCAACCACTGACCCACACTGGCCAGGCTATCTTGTCAGTCTTTGTATCTCTGCATTTAGGTCTGAATAGGGCCAGGCAAGTAGTAGGGGCCCAAGGAATATTTGTTAAATGAATGATGAAACATTTAATAAACAAATGTGAAGAAAGAGGTGAAATGGTTTTGGTATATTTAGGTAAGGGATTATTAAAGGCATAGGACTTGAAGCTGGACCTAGGAAGATAGCAGAGAGGTGGGGGAAAGGCATTTAGAAGAGGAGGAAGATTATTATCCAAGGAGACAGAACAAAAGCCCAAGACTGAGAGTGAAGACAGTGAGGGAGTCAGCCAGACTGTGGTTGCCTGCTACACTGTCTTGACCTTGTCAGTGACTATATTTCTCAATAATATTTTCAGCTCTTGGAGGGCAGGGTATTTTGTACACTCCTCTGTATCCTGTTTATATTTGAAGCACATCTCCATAGCCATTGTTCCTACTGTCTTGTGGTTCTTATTCTGCTCTGCAATGTAATTATTTTTGTTATCTACATATTCCTCTAGCACTTATACTGCCCACCTTCCCTGATGCTTCAGGTAGGGGTTTTGGAGTCTGCATTTTTCAACAATGGGTACTCAGTAAATATTTTTTTTATCTACCATTTGTTTATCTGTTTATAGAGGGCCACAAGCATATTTGTGTGCAACTGTGTATTGTGGCACAAAACTTATTTATGCCTTCACACTGTAGAGTCTATGTTTGGCAATTTTCATGAAAATATTATCTTATTAAACTTGGAAGGCTATCATTTCAATTGTTTTCTTTGTTCCTTCTTGGATGACTCACATCTCTAATACCAGAAGGATATTATAGAAGGGATTCAAAAAAGATTTGGGCAAATTTATGAATCACAAAGTCATAAATGTCTGATTATAAGAAGTTGTTAGAAGCATACAAAGGGGAAGGAGAAAATTTAGACGTCAAATGTGCCTATTATGTTCCAAGAACTGTGTTAGGCACTTGGCATACATTAGATCTCATTTAATCTGGCAGAATATGTCAGTATAAAGACAGGGCATGTCTATCTATAAGGCCAAACTTACACCTATTGAGGCACATTGCTTTTCCAGGTACCAGAGGCAGTACTCATCTTTATTAAAATGTTATCAACCTTTTAAGACAGATGACTCTATGGATTTACATTGTTTCCTAGGAACAGAACACATTCTTAATTCAGGCTTCTATATGCTTAAAACTATTTTTTGACAAAACTTGATCAGTTTTTAAAGTCTCAGTGCTTTAAGTTATAATGCAATATGAGATATTCCCACAGCAATAACAATGATTACATTTGTTTGCTTACCTTTATATTTCATAAAGCTTCCAAGTACTGAATAAAGGTAAGTTAAGTCAAGGAAAGAAACTTCTATTAACCCTGACACCAGCAAATTTTCTGAAATTATAGCTTGCCTTCTATTTGTATTCTAGACATACTGAGTTTTTTTTTCTGAGATACATATTATACCTCATCTCTGGTTAGAAGAAAATTGTAAGAAAATTAGTTTGTTTCTAATTTAAAAAAAAATAATACCAACTTTCAAAAACATAATGCTCCCAAGTGCACAGCTTCTGTTTCTGGGAGGAATCAAAACATTATAATCAACATACCATCTTTACACCTTGGGAATTGGCTTGAGAAAGTGGATTTATTATTATAAAGTTATTATTATAAAGTCACACAGTCTAAGGCCTGCAGCTACACATCCTGATCTGTGATAACATGCTTCCTGCCAGGTATGGATGTAGGTGGGAAGAGAAGGGATACACCTTTGGGTAAAGGATTGTCAGCACACTCACAGGTTCCAGATAGCTTTCTATTAACCTGTTTTGGGAAAACTAGAGCAGGCATTTTGCTATGGAAAATGTAAAGCTCAACTCATGATTAAAGAAAATGGTGAGGGTTTAAATGACATGGTTCACATTTTGAATGGTCCTACCCCAACCTCTGTGTGCCACTAATCACTGGAAAAGCACCAACCCTGTCTTTGTGGTGATCTGTATTTCTTAAATTTTATATTAGCCAAAGAAAATTGAGAAATTAGGACTACCACCAAAGAACATAGGTGTGACATACTGCCTATGGGACTTTTTAAAGATAGATGAGATCCAAGCTTAGAAAACTGCCACTTCTTTTTTGAGGTTGGGGATGAAAATATACCCATATTCCAAAGAGTTCTTTGTGTGAACAGGTGACCCCTTCCCACAGTCTCTGTAATTAATTGAGAAATTAAAGTTGGTTGGCCTTTGAGGTCTCTTGTAAAAAAGGCAGAAGGTCTTGGATATTTTGGAACAAGAGTCCACTATTCTGCCAAGACAGTATGTTATTGTTATTAGAGTGTCTCTCAACAAAACAGTATTGAGTAGTGAGGACGTGATTTTGATTAGGTGGAATGACTCAGCTCTTCCCCTTAAAGAAGAGAGGACTTGTCAGAGCCTTACTTACCTCATGATCTGGGATCTCAGAGGATAGTGTTTTCCCTAGGATGACCCCGGTCAAGTATGTCCAGCATCGAGCCGTGTTGGCAAGGTTATAGCCTCCTGTCTCCATCAAGAATTGTGAAGTTAGGAAAGAATAGTCACAAAACAGCAGGAGAGGGAAGAGGGTAAGGAAGGAGAGAAAAATGTTTTAATAAAAGGGCTAAAAAGACAATTTCAACTTGCAGAATTTCACCCAAACATACCCTTATATTTTTAAACCACCTGGTAGTCAGACTTCAGTAGACCAGTCAGACCATGCACAGTGTGGAACTGGGAAGTTCAAGGCCTACGAAGATTAAAAAGGTTCTAGTTTCAGAACAAATATGCACCTGGGGACTCTAAGCTCCTCAATTCCATCAAGAGTAATCTGCAAGAATGAGATATCTGGAACCTAGATCTCTTGAGATGACCTACCCAACATGAAGGTTTCTGTGATGAATTTTGCAACAATTCTATAAAATGACTGCTGGATGTGGTTTGCATGTTAAATCTATTGGCAGATGTAGCTCTAGATACATCCTGGGAAGAGAAAAGGAAAATGCTAACAGAAACAAACTTCCTTATTTTATTATCAGCATTCCTTTTTTCCACAAAATGCAGGCCTAGTAGCAGAGATCAAAGAGAATAAGCTGAGAAAGGGACTGTTGATTGACACTCTGACCCATCTTGTCAGGTCCTGTCAATCACCCAGAAGCCATATCTACAGGCTAACAATCAGAGTATTTTTGTTCTGAATAGATGTGTTCTGCCATGCAAGCATTAGAATACTGGCCTTTAGCTAAATTCCAAAAGTGTAAGGATAAAAAAGAATGATTTCCTAACCTCAATGTAGCCTGAGGGAAATTGAATTTAGTATATTTTAGGTAGGGTAACCATAAAATTTATCATCCAAAATGATACAATTTTAAGGGTAAAGGGGGACACTATTAACAATTACACTGGGGCCCAGTGGTTGAGCATCGACCTATGAATCAGAAGGTCACAGGTTCAATTCCTGGTCAGGGCACATTCCCAAGTTGCGGACTCGTTCCCCAGTGTGGAACTTACAGGAGGCAGCTGATCAATGATTCTCTCTCATCATTGATGTTTCTATCTCTCTCTCCCTCTCCCTTCCTCTCTGAAATCAATAAAAATATATTAAAAAATAATTACACTGGGATAACATGTATAAATTGAGACATATGGTCATCCATTTCTTAAGTCTTTTTACTCCTTGAAAGGTCAGGGATACTGGGGCTTTTAGAATGTGTCTTTTGGCCTCAATAAGGTCCACTGAAGCTTGAGGCTATGGCCACCTCCCCTAACTGTTTATGCATTATTGGTGGTTGAAAATTTAAGTTAAATAGTATAGGTATTACTTTAAACACTCCTTATGTGAAAAATCTAAATTCCTAAGGTTGACTTATTGGGAATGATTATTTGATTTCAAAAAAGAATCACTATAGGTTTTAAGTAATAGTTCTCTCTAGTGTACATGCAATATGATTTCTAAAAATTCCGCTTATGCACAGGCATTTCAGGAATACACATTTTTCAAAAGCCAAAACTTTGGACTGAGGAAGCTAAGAGGCCTTAAAAATGCTAAGTATAGGTTGAAGCCTCAAACAAAAGTTGAATTTGCACAGATATGTGTTGTGGAAAGGTCTTTTGTTTTCTTTTCCTGTAACTATACTTCTATCATAATAATCATTCTTTGTGCTGGTAAAGAAAGTTATATGCCACACAGCAGTTATCAATGTTATTTTTCCCCTGAGTTGAAGTTAATACATTTCTTTCTGGCTCTTTATAAGAGGTTGTCTCTGTAAGCACCTTTAATTTTGATCCCTCTAGAGTTCGAGGCTGCCAAAGGACCAGGCTTGTGTATTTGTATTGAATGCTCATTCATAAGGCTTTCCCATGGTTTCTTCTAACTTTGTTTTTTACAACAGGCTGACAGAACACAAACTATAAGCTGTTCCATAATACATACATTTTAAGCTCAATCTAACTTGACCATGTTATTTTAACACATTGATGCATTCACGCAATAAAATAAAGACTCTGCCAGATAGATAGAAGATTCTAAGCAAGGCATCTTCAAAGGTAGTTGAGGTTGTGATAGGTGCCTTTCGCAAATGTGTAAATGTTTCTATTGAACAAACTCAGCTTCTGTTGGTTAAGTAATACAAAACATCAGTACACAGAGGGCAAGAATGTCCAACAGACTCTTTAGATCTCTCAATTTTACTTTGTTGTACAAATCCATGTTTTTTTTTAGGATGTTGTGGGGCAAAAGTCATTCCTGATTTCAGCTTAGGTTTAATGAATTCATGTGTTCACTACATATATATGAGTAGGGTTAGAATTTTAGTGGTATGTTTCTATAAGATTATTATTAGAACTGGGAATCAAAACTACACTGAAAGAAGATGGATCAAAATCCACTGTTAGCATTCTCTATCCTATATAATAAAAGCCTAACATGCTAAGTGTCCGGCCATCCGGTCGGCCGTTCAACCAATGAAAGCATAATATGCTAATGATATGCTAAGGCCATTCAACCGCTCACTATGACATGCACTGACCACCAGGGGTCAGATGCTCCAACCTGTAGGTTAGCTTGCTGCTGGGGTCTGGCTGATCAGGACTGAGCAAGACGGGCCAGACATGCCCTGAGGCCCTCCTGTGGTCCTTCCCCGGCTGGCCAACCTCCCGCATCTCTCCCTGGCCTCCATTCTGCACCGATGGGGTCCCTCAGCCTTGCCTGCGCCCTCTCGCAATTCGGGCTGAGGGACCCCTACCCCCCAAGTGCATGATTTTCATGCACCGGGCCTCTAGTTCTTAATAAGATCTGGTGTCACTATTAAGCTAAATGTTTTGAACATTTTGTATCGGAGTGCTAAGGAGTCAATGCATACACCAAACTGAGTAGAAGCGTATCAATACTTCCTTATGCTGAACTATGAAGGTAGCAGAATTCAATGAATCAGGCTTCTGGACCACAGGCAGGTTGATATTATCTAATCTAAGAAAGTCAAGTTTTCCTCAGTGTCAATAAATAAAATATGGAGGAAGGTCAACAAATTCTCCTGGTGACCTTCCTTTGTACTCACCTCCTCCCAAAATGAGTGTTGCCAATTGCCACTGTAGGATGTACTTAAGACACCTGCCAATTCCCACTGGAGTCATGTTAAAGGAGCACATGGGATCCCCAGCTATTGTATCAGCTCCCAGCTGTAAGACCACCGCTTTGGGATTAAAGGCCATATATACCTCCTTTAGTACACTGTAGAAAAGAAAAAGAATATAAAATGTCAGAAAATGATAGGTTAGTTTGCTCTAGAGGTGGTGATGATGGTGGAGCCAGTAGGAGGTATAGTTGAGTCAGGAAATATTGAAGGAAAAAAATACAACTTGTCAAACTCATCACACTTTCCATCTAAAAAGGATGAATCAGAAAAATTCTATCCAACTCCACCCTCACTAAGTACCGAATTTGTCCTGAGTTTTAGAACTCAGACTTCCTTGAAACTTTCAAATTAATTTAACTTCAACAGTCATAGTACACAGTGTACACAATTACTTCATTTTACAATCTGGGAAAATAAGACATATATATTGACTGGTTATTAAGGATTATTTCTCATAATTAAGATTGTCAACATACTTTGAGTTTATCACCTAGTTATCACTGGGGGCTGGTGAAAGAATTACATGCTTTGAAAGTATAAACATTATCAGCTTACTTTTTATTATGCTAAAGAACTTCTGGGTTATGAAATTCAGCCCTCCCCAATTCCTTTGTAAACCAGAGTATTACAGGGAAGGGAACTGCAACAACTGATCCAAAACTATAAATCTGAAAGCAGCCTAAAGAACAAATTGTAGTGGGTAGAAATTAGCATAATTTTCGGTAGAATCATTCAATGTTATCAAATCAACTTAACAACTTTTTTCAAGTTAGAAAAGGAAGTTGTCAATGTTACAGATGACCTTAGTCAGGTTTCCAGTATTCTCATTAATTGAACACTGACGATGTCCAGAATACATTCCTAGGAGTTATAAGGTCCCTGCTCTCAAGGGGCTTACAATCTAGTTCCCAGACAAAACATATACCAGCACTCAAGGGCCTGAGTAACTCACAGAGACATATAAACATGTGCAAATCAACATACTTTAGAGTTGAGAAAAAGCAGAGTAAAAAAGTGATTAAAAATGCTGGGGTTAATACCCCTTCATAGTCAACATGTCAAATTATACCAGTACAGCAAAAGCAGAAAAATCCCAGATCCTTCTGAAACTGCAAAAAGAATTCAGGGATATAAAATGCTGATCTCTCAAACTCATATGTAACAAGGGGATTGAAACTATTGAGAAGTGCTCAGCTGCAGAGTCTCATTCTTTGACTCAAAGGACTGTTTTGTTTTGATTTCTCATCTATGCAGACAAATATTGAGTGATTGTGGAGATTCTAAGAATATTATGAAACTTATGACATATGATACTCAATATAGGAATACTCAGGCCTACCCTCTCTTTCATGTGCTTATCTTTTGGGTGCAGAGGGATGATAAGCCACCTGAATAGTGAGCCAACATTTATTGAGCATCTACATGTACACAGCACCTTATTAGCTGCTGCTGTGAGACAGAGTGGAAGGAATGATTTCTTTACTAAAAAAGGTTTACAGGTAATGTAGAGGAATGGGAGGCAAGAAAGACTAAGGTTTTCTCATTCATTCTTTCCCTCAGTTTGGACATTAACTGAGCACCCTCTGTGTGTCCAGCATAAATCTGTACCAGATGTTGCAGGAACAAAGATGAATGTGGCACAGTTCTTATCTTCATGTGGCTCAGAACAGAGGGAAGAGTCAGACTATGTCAATAAATAATTAAAATACAATGATGAATGAAGTAGCAGAAGTGGCATAGAGGAGAGAGTAATCGACTTACAGATGATGTTAGAAAAGGCTCTACTGGGGTACCTCTTGACTTAGGTCTCAAAAGATCAGAAAAACTATGATGAGCCACATATAAAAATGGCTAAAATGAAAAATAGTAATAACATCAACTGCTGGTGAGGATGTAGGAAAAACAATATCACACATACATTGTGGGTGAGAAAGTAAAATGATATAGCCACTCTGGAAAATATTTTGGCAATTTCCATCAAACTAAAAATAGACTTACCATAAGATTTAGCAATTGATTCTTGCACATTTATTCAAGAGAAATTAAGACTTATTTTCATATAGGAACTTGCACATAAATGAACATAGCAGCTTTATTTGTAACAATCCAAACTTGAAACAACTCAGATAAAATACAACAAGTGATTAGTTAAACTGTGGTACATCCATATCATTGGAAGATTGCTCATCAATAAAAAGAAAGAAACTACAGATACATGGAAAAGAACTTGGATGGGTCTCAAGGGAATTATGCTGGGTGAACAAGATCAATCCCCAAATACATATTGCACCATTCCACTTACATACCATTAGCGGTTGCCAGAGGTTAAGGATAGGTGTAGTTGCATGAAAGAATCTTGTGGTGATGGTACAGTTCTGTATTTTGATTGTGAAAGGAGTTGTGGCTATGCAAAGCCACATAGAGCTACACACACACACACACACACACACACACACACACACACACGCACACGCACACACACACGCACACACACACCAGTACAAGTATAATTGGTGAAAAGTGAATAAGCTCTATGCATTGTACCAACGTCAACTTCTTGATTGTACTATAATTGTGCAAAATGTCAACATTGAAGGAGGGTTGAGGAAGGGTGCACAGGACTTCCCTGTACATTTCTTTGCAACCTCCTGTGAATCTATGATTATTTAGAAATAAAAGTAAATAAAAGATTAGACTGTCTTGACTCCATTGTATGCTCTTGCCTCCTTTGTCAAATATTAATTGAGCACAGTGGTTTGGGTCAATTTCTAGGTTCTCTATTCTATTCCATTGGTCTATATGTCTACTCTTGTGTCACACCAGGCCGTTTTGAGAACAGTGGCTTTGTAATACAGCTTGATACCTGGTATTGAGATCCCTCCTACTTTGTTCTTTTCTCAGGATAGCTGTGGCTATTCAGGGCCTTTTTTTATTCCAGATGAATTTTTGGAGTGTTTGTTCTAAGTCTGTGAAATATGCCGTTGGTATTTTAATGGGGAGTGCATTGAATCTAT